GGTACATGTATCAGTAATTGAAATGCTTGTAAGAAATTAAAAATTGATAGCCTAGCTGTTACATAAGATATTCACCTTGACCTGTCAAGTTAATGCGATTCATTTTGATCAGTACGTTGCCACGTAGAATTTCCACCAAAACAGGAACTTGTGAAAGAGAACAAAACCCCTCGCAAGGTAAAATTTCCACCCAGATTGTTGGAAACAAACTTGTAAAATAGAGCAAAACCTCTTGTAGCTTAGTCATATGTAAGGGCCAGTCGCTACATGTCGCAATCGATTTGCGAAGGGGACATGCCAGTCGGGGTGCTGGTTGTGGAAGTGGGTTCCCATTAAGCCAGAAACTCGGGGTGATTCACTCCCAATTTACTTTCTGTCAGTTTTTTTTTTTTTAGTACTTTTGACCCCCAGAAATATTGACGTGTTTGCCCTTCATCTGCTGGCAAACATTGTGTTATTTTATGTCAGTTTTTTATCAGGATTTTTCTTGAAATAAAGATATTGATTTGCTTCCGTTGAAAAACCAATTTTCCGTTGTTTGGCAGTGGATAATTCTGTCAGATTATCTATGATTTCAGATGTTGTTTTTTCTTTTTATCAGGAAGACTGATGATGCTATTGATTTTACCTAAAAAAAAAAAAGATTATTAATGTGAGAAACATTGAGATATCCCTGCTCTAAAACTGAGAAAAATGCCTTGGATTTTAAGTGGTTTTTAGAGTCTACTGAAGTGTTTTAATGTCAATGTTTGTTCACTGTATTGAATGATTTAGAAAATGGCATGGGTGAGAAGTATCTTCCTGAATTTCATGTTTTTTTTTCAAGTCCCAAAGTAAATAAGGTTTTGCATGTATGCTGCTCACAACTCTGACTAAATTAATTCCAGTGATTTTAACACATTTACTGTATTCCTCATGGCATACATTCTGAAACGGGATACGGAGGTGGCAGAAATACGTTCACTCAACAGATTAACACCCATGAATAATTCAAGTAAAATGTATGTAAGCTTAGGATGTTGAAATTCTTTGTCATATTTGTGGAAAGGTTTTCGCCTCTCATCTTTGATTTTCTAACACAGCAGATCATTAGAGTTGATTGATAATTCTGAAAATTGATTTTTAAATGGTTTTTTGTGCCCCATTATGCATACCTAATTATCGTCATTTTTTAAAAAGATGATGGTTTGTGTTTTCATCCTTATAGCACTTCACCAGAATTTAGCAATAGTTATTGTGTAGGCCAAGTTGAATGGATTCCTTGTTTTCTTGAAATAAAAGTGGAAATTCAAGCAAGTCTATTCAAGAAGATGTTTCTACTTTCTACAGTGAAACCCATCTAAAGCTTGTTGAACATTCTCTCTATAACTCAGCTGAGAAATGAGAAAGTGGTTCAATTAATCAATTATGCTCGTCTTATACCTAGACTATTTGTGAGGTTTTTATAAAAATGATATTTGAAAAATTCTTGAAAGGAAGTAATCAAAAATTTCATTGATAGATATTTATAATTTAAATAAAACAACGTCTTTGCAGTCTATCTGTTTTGCCATTCAGATGACATGGATAAGGGTATTTTTGTCTATAGTGAGGAGGAGCATGAAAATGTCTTTTTGATTTGTAACTAATTGACTTATTTATTTCCCTGCAGAATGTTGCCTATTACATGCAACATTTCTCATGGATGATTTATGCATTTTGACTTGATAGTGTATCTTATGGAGTTCCTTTTCTAACATACAGAGTACATAATGTGTTTTACATTGTTGTTGGCCATTGTTTGGCTAAAATCCCTCTCATTTGGGAATAGTTTAGTAATATAGTATAGTAAATGTAAATATAGTAAATGCTTTGTCTTGAAACTAGTTTTTATTACATTTAATTTCTGAACATCTTTGCCTGAAAATGTGATGCAAAGTTTTGGAAAGCAAGCTGAATGCACATTTTTGCTTACAAGAAAAAATATTGAAACAGTATGGAGTAATTGAGGCACTTAAATTTTTTCAGTAATTGCTGGGTTTTTTTCCTCATCTCATATTGTATCCTTTCATTGACAAGTGGTTGTCACTGTTGTATTCTTGGTCGATTTTAAGCCACACAATTACTTTTTTAGCGGCTATCAGGCAGAGATTGTCACTCCAATGTAAGATGACACAGATAAAAATCACTGCCTGATAACATGCTCAGTGATTTTGTTTTAACCTGGCAAATACGAAACCCATTAATCATTATATAAGGCAGACTGTGGGGCTCCCAGAAGTTAACTGTGATTTATGTTGATAATTACCTGGAAGATGTGGACTCGGAGATCTGGGGCTGTGCTGTGCTTGGAAACAGACAATCACTTTGTTGTCAGAGATGTGAATTGAGTTGCAGACACTTTTTCTTAATTGTCCTTTTGAAAGTGCTCCCTGCTGAGTATAGAGTGGTTCTGTGATCTCATCAATGGCAACTGTTAAAAATCAGCTGCGGGATATTAGTTTTAAACAACAGGGTGTATATGGCTGAAATGACATTTCTGTGTGTGTGTGTTTGTGTGTCATGATCATATAATTACATGCGCATATATTAGGATTGAAGAAAAAAAAAACACTGAAAACACGTTTGTAAATTGTGCAGATGAAGTCAAAATCAATGAACAGCCAAGTTAATCTTCGTGAAAAATTAAACCTTAATCCTGTAAATAAGGGATACATTCTGTTGACTGACTGGGAAGCATGCATTGCGTGTCCATCAAGGTATGTTCACTTCTGATAAGTGTCCGTTTATTGATTTGCTGAAGATGATACAGTCAGTGTTTTAGTCATTATGACTGGGATAATGTAGATGAGGTAGTAGACATCGAGACTAGACATATCATTTCAGTCTGTTCATTTCTTTTTCTATTGGCACTCACACACACAAGATAGAATGACACTGAACCATTCTTTTTCCTATAGATACTGCTGGTGAAAGGTTTCCTATTGTTGTACTCGGCTTAGATTATTAATAATTATGTATATTATTACCTGAGTGGAGGCCATGTGATTTAATTAACCAGTAATGTGTACAAAATGGAACGATTCAGAAATTTTCTATCCTCTGTGTCAGTACTCATTTCTGGAAGACACGATTGTCTTCCTTTTAAAAATATAACTAAAATAAATGTTATTTATGGAGCCATTGCCAAATTGTTTTCACAAAACTTATGAAGTGATCATACCAGTTTTATGATCAAAATCAGCCATTTCACTTATGATAGAAGTGATATCTCTCGGTTCACCTGTGCATCATTCTCTCTGTGTTATGGGTGCAAGTGGCCGTTAATACAAACAAGCTGCAGTATAAGGTAGGACATTACAGGAGTTAGATAAATATTAACAGGAAGCTAATGGAAGTGCGAAAGATGATTATGGTCCAAGTGATGGAAATGGGGTTTGAGTCCACGCTACTTTTGTTGCCTTAGCAACACAAACTCTTTTTCTCTCTCGCATGTTTATGTGAGATTTTTTTTAATTACTGGAGGAAAACTTGTTCACTGCAGGTCAGATGAAGGACCTATTCTCGTCTGAAGTCTCGGGTTATTTTTCGATCACTTTTTTTTAGTTGATGATGATCTCGGCTGACATTTATTGGGTAGGTGAGATGAAAAAGTGATTTATATCAGCCACAGATTATTTTTATGTGCTATCAAGAGCAAGTGGAATTGCCATGCTAAGTTTATACTTTATGTTGAATATTGTATGATCATAGCCATTCTGTCCACAGCTTATTGATAACAAGGCAGATATTTTGTAGAAATGCAGGTAGGTACTGGAGGAAGCAGATGGATGGATGTACAGTAGTAAGCATATGAAGGTGGTTGGAAAAAGGGGACTACAAACACAAAAACGGAAACTTGATTGAAATATGAAAGTCATTGTTTTACTCGATTGAAATATGAAAGTCATTGCTTTTGTTTGTGTGTTGGAACCTTATTGAAAATTTGGCACTTTATGTGTAGCTGTATTGCGACTGGAAATATTAATTTGTGGCCTTCTGCAGATAAACAGAAAGGTATGATGGCAAACTTTGAATTGAAATATAAATGATAAGCTATGTCCAATCAATATGAAATGCCATAGTGTTCAAATACTGCTTTTGTGGAATTAATTAAATTGGTTATTTTGTAAGATATAAAGTTTATGTCTAAGGTAAATTGTAAAATATTATAAATAGGATATATATACACACACACACACACACACACACACACACACACACACACACACCTAAGAAGCATTTTCTAGCCATCATTAGTATGTGGAGAACCTCTTAGTATACTTGATTATCCAAAAATATTATTATAAAAAAGTATCAGGTTTTCCAACATGCACTTGTAATATCTCTAAGTAATCATGATCTATGGTTTATAATGGTTCAGGTGCTCTGTTGTGTTTTTGTCACTGAAGTGGGAAAATGAATCTTACAGCGTCATACTGACAGAGCATCACTAATTGCGTTTTGAATGTACACTGTATGTTTACACACACACACAAAAAAAAAAAAAAAAAAAGAAAAACAGGGGTGTACTTAGTATATTTGAAGCTTTTATCTCTGATAATTTGTAAAGTACATTTCATGGTACTTGTTGCATGTCAGAAATAGCCGTGTCATGTTTCAAATATGTTGAGTGTTCTGTAGCAATATCACTCGTGATTCAGTCAGGGGATATAAACGTCATTAACACTCAGTAAACTAGAGAAAAACTGTACGAGGCTATTTGTTGATCAATTTTTTTTTTCAAATTTGAGGATTGATGTTTTATTGTATATTTTCAAATTTAATTGGTTTCCTAGGTTACCTTCAGTAATAAACTTGAAGATACTGGAAATACCGGCGACAAAAAGGGAATTTTGAAATCTGATGCATGGAATTTATCTTTCAGGATTAATGCTTTGTAAAAAACATATGTTGCCATCCTGTTAAAACCCTGCTAATGATAAGTTGTGTTAATAAGATATTATAATATATCTTTCCAGATTTAAATATCATGGATAAAGTGTACCGAAAGTACCGTGAGCAGGTTTTGGCTGGGAAGATCCAGGATGAAATTGGGATCGAAGCCTTTCAGACAGATCATTTTGGCAGTGGCGTTGTCCGTAAGGAAAATGATCTGAACAATGAAGAAAAACAGTACCTCCTGGCTGTAGAGAGAGGCGACATGGCCAACGTAAGACGATACCTAGAAGACGCGCCAGTATATTACAGCATAAATATCAACTGTACAGATCCACTGGGAAGATCGGCGCTGCTTGTGGCCATCGAGAATGAGAATCTTGAAATGATCGAACTTCTTTTGAGTTTTGGAGTTGAGATGAGAGATGCCCTCCTCCATGCTATTAATGAAGAGAATGTGGAAGCAGTAGAGTTATTGTTGCAGTATCAAGCATCGCGGAAAAAAGATTTGACTGTGAGTATGAGATCAAAATTAAGTTTGAAAGCCATTATAATTTTTGCCTTCATGTTTTGATGGCTGTCTTCAGACTTTTTTCAATGGTTATCGGCCCATTTCATATTGAGTGGTATAATTTAGCAATGCAGTCTGTACCGATACACTTTAAGAGATTGACAAAATAATATAATTTTTTTGATATTTTATAAAATTTCATACTTCATACCCCCAAACATTTTATTTAAAAAATAGTGCATTTGTCTCCCCTGTAACTCTTTATACTGCAAAAAGCAGGAGGAATAAAAATGAAAACGATATATAACTCCTTTTTCTGAAATAAGATGATACATATAATTTGGTTGCTACTTTCATCAGCTTATGGGCCATTCTGGAGATCGGGACATGGAGGTATAGTATATATAGTCTCCTTAATTAGGTGCATGTACATCCCTATCAGCCCAGTAGCCACAGGCTCAAAAGTGATGAGTCAAGCACCTTCCATATTTGGGGAGTTCGGAAGGGGGGCGGGGGGGGGGGGGGGTCCAGTGGGGTGCTCCCCAGCAAATCTTGTTCAGATGCATCAAATTATGCCGTCCAAAAGTACACTTTGCCTGGTTATTAAATCGGACTATTTTAACCCTGATAGATAATTGTCACTGAAATGCACAAAATTAAGGTTTCAAGTCAAAAATATTTATAATTCAAATTTGACAAAATGGTAAATTCCCCGACCAGGCAAGCACCAGTCTGCTGCAGGCCTGCCTCAAACATATGGCCATTACACAGTAGTTTGTAGTTAATAACCTTCAGTAATCATTTTGTTAGTTGATTTTAATAGTCCCCATAGATCCTGACTAACTAGCAGGTATATCTGAGTAGGTGGTTAGCAGGTGGTGGTGTTTTTATTTATTTATTTATTTATTTTATTAGACGTTGAATCTTTTTTTCAAGATGGTCTCTTGGTGCTGTGAAATGAATCCCTTGTCTGTGTGTTGTGTGGAAAGGAACTTTTCAAGGTTTGTCAACCTTGCACAATGTTAAGTAGTTCTAAATCCATATATCTGTTGTTAATTGTGATGTTAACTAAATGTGTAACTTATATCTTTTTTCAACCTAAAATTTTTGATTCCATTTAAAGAAAAAGAAAATTTTTTTAAATATATATAAAATTTCTCAGTAGGAACTTCTATTGAAGTCGGATTACTGAAAATTATGAATTTTGGAATCATAAAATACTTGGCAGAAGGGGCGCTTTCCTAAGTTGTCAGTGCAGTAATTACTGCCATAGATAAGATAACCTTATACTGCAGGAAATCAGTTGTCAAAAACAATTAAGAATAGAATAATTGAGTAGAGTTGGCAATGCTGTATGTAGAGGCAGAAAAACAGTGACATCTTGTTGTGACTACCATTATCAAAGCCATTTCCAAATTGATTTCCTTTGCCCATGCGGTTTTGAGTTTATTATTGATTATTGTTGCAGAATTGAGATAAAAACCCTGACATCTACTAGCTGTAGGTCTTACTAACTGTATTTCATGACGGGGGAAGAACCAAAAGTACTCAGAATAGAGAGGCAATAATTGACCTGAACTCCACAGAAATTGCCAGATGTTGGAACACATTCAAAGATCCAAGATTACTACAAAAATTTGGGGATGACAGGGGTAGAAAATTTAATGTACTTCAATTGCTTTTCAATTATTTAGCTTTGGGGTTGTTTGGAGAGGGGTTTATCCCCCTTGCTCCACCTTTAACTTAAAATTTAATTGATTGATATGTGATATGACTTGACTCTGACATATGAATATGTGCAAATAATGAAATTAAATTTCTTGAAGTGACACAGTAAACATCTGCTGTAAGATGACTGACAAATGGCATGTGACAGCTTTCATCTCAGTTCATATCTTCCATGCCAGATAATCACCCTGAGTGTCAGAGGCCTCTTTATTATATCACGATAATTTTACAGGGTACTGGATTCAGCGGAGGTACATGTAAGCTGGTAACAGAGAAGAGTCTCCAGTGACCTCAGGGTGTCTAAGGGACCGTTCCCATTGAATTTTGTCGACCTAGCTTATGCCCACTGATTCCACTCTTGCTGAATGCCATCATATCAGAGGACTAACACTCCTCCTTCTGGCATGGAGTATAATATTGAAAAGTTGGTGATAGTACGAGTACTTTGGAAACAATAGTGGGCATGTTAGTCTTGTAATCTAATTGCATTCAGCAAGAGTCCCCCTGGAGTTAGTGAGCATTAGCTAGGACTACAAAATTCACTGTGAACGGTCACTGAAATGAGCTACAATTAAGCTTTATTGATCACCAGTCAATCGATCAGATTCTCCTGTTGCAGAAAAAATCCATGAGGTTGGAAATATGAATAGTGACTGTACAAGAATGAAATAACCTCTATTTTGAAAACTCATTTTGCTCTTCTCTTTGGTCTACAATTGAGATTCATATAGTTTTGTAATCTTTGTTTATAACAAAGCAAGATGGTTTGGAGTGGATCGCATTTTTCTATGCAAGACTGATTTTTTATCTGCTTGTTTCACATCTGAACTTCTATGGTTCCTTTGAGAATAGGGAAGTTTCAGAAATCAAAATGAATCCATCACTGTAATGAAAGTGTCCCCTTTATCTGAATGGTATGGATTTCAAGAGAACCACGAAAGATAGTATTGCACTTTATTTTTTTTTTCTTATATCAAATTAAGAAATCTGGCATTTCCAGTGATTTGAAGCCATTTCCAATGTCTCTCTTGAAAAAAGAATGACCTTACACATCAAACACAGATCATTGCATTTTAAAATTATGATCTGCAAGAAACCCCTTGGAGATATTAGATTTTTTTCTTATTGATATCTGTGTATCCAGATGGAATTGATGAGATGGTTTTGTCCAGTTGTAAAAGCCCCTGGTGATAAAGTAATGTACTTTTGAAATAGAGCATCAAGTCTTGGCATTTTTCTTCTCTTTTGAGCACTTGATGAATAATTGTTTTAAGCCCAGAACTATTTTGGGCTGAGAGGATGGTAACAATTGAAAACCATATTTCTGTTATTCAAAAAAACTAGTATCTAGCGAGTATTCAGCATCTATGCTTCTGCGATTTAATTTATATTGATTTTTTACATCAAAAGATATTTTAATATTAACAGAGAACAGGGTTTGATTGCCACTGAACATCTTGTCTGAGCCTTGCTTGGGATTCCAAAGCTATCATGATATTCCTCAATTACCTTTTCTAACATCTCAATGGGATGGTTACTGAAAGTGCAGATTACTAGCTGGATGGGTGCAATCAAGCTGTCTGTCCCATCCATTGCAACTTAAAACAAAATTAGTGAAGGCAAACATGGATTGGCCATTGATGTGAACTTTCTAGTTAAAACCTGCAGGCATTGTCTTTGAGCGTCTGCCAAAATCCATTTCTCTTTTTTCCCCGTATAAGCCTCATTGAGTGGACAGGTCTATTTTTTCACTATTTGTCACTATTATTTTCAAAAAAATATTTAAACATGGCATTATTTTTACATTTAATGGTTATCTAAGTCATGAATTTTATTTTGCCACAAATATTTTGTCCTATTTGCCTCAATTCAAGTAATTATTCTGTATTTTTTTCATGTTTCTGTATTTTTTAGGGCTACCTCGGTGGAACCCCTTCAGATTCCTTCACCCCTGACATCACTCCCATTATTCTGGCTGCACATAGAGACAATTATGAAATCATCAAGATACTCCTGGATCGGGGTGATCGCATACCAAAGCCGCACGACGTACAATGCAGCTGTCGAGAATGTGTAGCAAACAGTTCCGATGATATTTTGCGACATTCGCGATCACGCATCAACGCGTATCGTGCTCTTGCTAGTCCTAGCCTTATAGCACTGTCCAGCAAAGACCCAGTTTTGACTGCATTTGAACTGAGTTGGGAGTTGAAACGACTGAGCCGAATTGAGAATGAGTTTAAAATTGAGTATGAGGGTTTATCTGTGCAATGCCAGGATTTCGCAGTGGATCTCTTAGACCAGACGAGGGGATCTCATGAACTGGAAATTGTTCTAAACCATGACTCGAGTGGTGCTGTGCCTCATGATTCAAGTCCTGATAGGATGAAACTCAGCCGCCTCAAGCTGGCCATCAAGTATAAACAGAAAAAGGTAGGTCCATCATCATATGGAGCTTAATGCCCTTATTATTTTTTCTTGAAACGTTTAGATCTGTTGTCTGATATGTTGACACCTGAGAATAGAATGAAGCTATAATAATTTGAAATGCGTAGAATATACATTAATGCTAGGGTCTTCAACGAGGTGTTAGTTTTTAGATTGGTGATTTAGTATAAAAAGATTTCATTATCTTGTCTCATTAAATGGAAATTGTGAAAGTATTAAATCAATATTATTTATTTGTAAAATATTTTATATTTATTACTGTGTTATATTGCTTTAGTAATATTTAGTCATCTGATTAAGAAAAAGATTGTGTAAATTATTTTCTAGGTTGGTTTTTAGGAGGTCAAATTGAACTCTAAAAATGTATTTATTGCAGCACTGGTATTCAATTACAATGATGGAAGAAAAAAATTTTTGGTTAAAAAATGAAATAATGCCTCTAATATTTTGTTCTTCTTCTTGTCAGAGCAGAAATTAAGTACATTTTAGTCAAAATTTCAAAATTGATGACCATTTTGAGTATGGCAGCCATATTGAAAAAGCTGCTATGCAAAATTCTCATTAATTGCCAATACCATAGTCAGTAATTTTGACAAAGAATAAATAAATGGATAAATAAAATCAATGAAAAGAAAATTGAACAATAATATAATCCCATTTTGCCAATTTCTCCTCTTGCTCTACAAACTGAAATAAAAAACTACTCATAATTGCATGCAAAATTAATACTTGACAGTGACAAATAGAAACAAAAGTATTTTTCCCAGTAAGCATATTTTTGATTATAGTTAATTTTTTTAGGTGACTGTAAGGTTTTGGCACCCTGAGCTTCAGAGCTATCTTGACACTAACCTCTTCACTGTAGCCTATCTTCATCGTGTCAAGTAACTTGACACGATGAAGATAGGCTACAGTGAATAGGTTAGTGTCAAGTTAGCTCTGAAGCTCAGGGTGGGTTTTGGTAGTCAGTAAGTAAAATTCTGTCACCAAGGAACAAACTTTTATATATTCCAGTCAGCACCATTGTATATGTTACTCCATAGATTAATTAAAATATTGCCATTTAATCTTTACAAATGATTGATTGACTTTAAACTTGTGTGAATCTGTAGGTTCTTGTGTTAAGTGCTTTTAAAAAGGGCATCACTCTTTAATTGTAAAGCTAAATGGCAGAAGTCAGGTAGTTTCTCTGTCAGTGGGTCGTGATTGGCACATTGAACACGCGTGGTACGCGTGCTCTAAAATAAGATGGAGTTTTGCTTAATCAGTCTTAAATCTAGTGTATGTTTATCAAGTCTGAAATCAGGCAGTCTTTACCCTTTGCAAAGTATAAAAAGGTCGCTTCAAAATGCCAGTCATTTGCGTCATCAGGTAAATATTTTCTTTCATGATTATCTGATATTTTTGTACTTTTCCTTTCCCTGTATGCTGCACAATTGGCACATGTTTTTGTTGAAGTACTGAGTTTCCTGCACCATTGCTTGCACACGTTTTATGTAGTTAGGAAGTTGAAAAATAAAGATTTTGTTGCCATGCACTTTGTCACGCTCCTCAAAGCTTTCTGCTATATGCTGGAGTGCGAGGCACACTTTACATAAGGATAATTTGCTAATAAGGATAGATTTATTTAATTTCCCATTCTCTACAAAGTTCTCATCTTTTCAGTTTAACTACTAAATGTTTACTATCTTAGAACAAACTTTTAGAGTATCAATCTGTTTTTTTTTTTGTTTTTTTTTTCGAGAATTGGCAAAGGAATCGAGCCATTTTGAAGTGCTTCCACGTCAATGGGGCTTTGAAAATGTGGACATCATCATCTCTACACTGCAATATCTTAATTGCAATAACTTGATGGAGAGTGATCCCCATCTAGACAGATCTATTTCCTATACAAATTGCATAGCTTCCTATCCTATTGCAAATATTATGTATATTACAGACAGGCCTGTAGCCAGGGGGGGTTCGGGGGGTTCAAAAGAACTGCCCCTTTTGCTGGGAAAAGGTCCACTCTGGGCAAAATTTGATCTAGGCAATGAAGTTTTTATGGAACTAGGTCCACTTTTTCAGAAAAAGACCCCCCCCCCTTTTGAAATTGCTGGCTACGGGCCTGGATTACATAAACATTTCGGAGTACTTCCAAATCCACAGGTGACTGTGACAGGTGTGATATCAGTACCTTGTATATTGATGACTTCAGGTGTGAAATGGATACATGTTATTGCTTATAAAATTGATTGCCATGGAGTGTAGATAATCCTGAAAGCTAGTAGAGCACATGCATGCTGTTTCATCTAATTTTTGATCAGCATATTTTTCTGTTGTGGATTGACTCTAATTTTTCCTTATAAATAAGGTTGAAAATTTCCTCAAATAGATGAATTGCCAATTATTTCCTCAGTCAATGGTAATTTTTCATAATTATGTAACCTAACTGCTTGCTAATGTTTCATTAAATTTTTTCTTCTGTAATAATGATAATAGTTATTATTATGATTATCATATATCATAACAAAATCAGATTGTTTGTTTTCCCAATTAGTCTTTTTTTAACAATGCCTCAAAATAAATTAGCTGATAGAAAGATAAATTAAGAAAATTTAGTTGGAAAAAATAAGTTGGATTTGTGTCATAAAAAATCATGCATATGAAAAATAGATAATGTTTTTAATGAAAAGTGATACGTTAGAAAATTTTGAGCTATCACAATTCATCATACGTATCAGTGTTTCAGTGTCACTTGCTTGGAAAAAGAGTAAATTTTCAACATTAAGGGCCTGGTGAAAAAAGTCCAGAGTGCAAGGTTAACATGAAGTAGCAGGCAAGTCACATGAAGTGCCCTGGAGAATTATATAGATTTCCAAGAACCAAAACCATTAATGATACCTAGTTCATGTCATGTGTTATTTTCTTTGAAATTTAGTGACAAATCTGCTCAGGCAGGCACGTGAAGTGTTTGCCAATTTCTCAAGTAAAAAAGGGAAAAAATTGGAAAGCTTATTTCATGGAAAAACTTGAGAAAAGCATGCAACTTGTAGCTGCATGATCATGTTGAAAAATATCATGCAGCTTAGCTGCTGAGCTACAAGTTTGCAGCAGAAAGGGAAAAAATTAATGTCTGGGCAATAACTGATTGGCCTCTGTACTTTTGGATTAGATAAGAAGTTGTAAGGTGTATGGGAGAGATTCTTGTGAGACTGCCAATTTTAGTCTTGTCATTTTAGTCTTTAGAGGCCACTTTAGAAAAATGTTATGTCTGATTTATTCAGACCAGTTAAGATCGGCTTCAGAATTGGCTCATTTTATGATGCTCATACCAAGTCTATTGCACATCCATTACACTCAATTTTTATCATTCCAAAAAAAAAAAAAAAAA